GCGAGGCCACAGGCCAGCACCATTGCGCGGACCAGGTGCGACTTGAATGCGTTCACGCGAACTCCTTTTTAGTTTTGGCTTTTGGCCGAAATTGTTGCCAGGGTTTAAGCATTTGCCGTGCCAGGGGTCGAAATCCCTTGCAGATCAAGCGCTTGGAAATGCCTGGCTGCTCCCGTCACAAAAATTGTAAGAAGAACTGACACTCGCAGGAGGGTTTTGCCCCCCTCACTTGAGTGTGGCCAGCAGGGCTTTTGCCGCAGATTGCGACTCGAACTGCGGGAAGTCCCTCAGGGCCGTGGTGAGTTCCTCGCGCGCCTCGGCGACCTTGCCCTGCTTGGCCAGCACGGCGGCCAGGTGATAGCGAATGTCCGGGTTGGACGGCGCCCGCAGCCGGGCGTCGCGCAGCTTGGCCAGCGCGGCATCGGTCTGGCCGCCCTCGAAGAGCGCCCAGCCCAGGGTGTCGATGACCAGCGGATTGGCCGGCGCCTTGGCGACTGCCTGCTCGGCCGTCGCGATGGCGCTGCGGGTGTCCTTGAGGCGCAGGTGCACGTTGGCGAGGTTGTTCAGCGCCTCGACATCGTCCGGTGTCTGCTTGAGCACGGCCTCGTAGGCCACCTTGGCTCGTGCGAAGTCACCCGTGCGGGCCAGCAGGTTCGCAAGCGAGCGCTGGATCTGACCGTCCGCCGGGTTGGCCTTCAGCCAGGCGTCGGCGACATTGCGCGCTTCCTGCACCTGGCCCTGGGCGCCCAGCGAGTTGATCAACGCCAACGCGGTGCCGACGCTCGGCTCGACCTTGTGGGCCTGGCGGTAGGCGTCGATGGCCGCGGCGGGCTGGCGGCGGGCGCTGGCCAGGTCGCCCAGCAGGCCGTGGCCGGTGCCCAGCTTGGGGTACTGGCTGATGATGCGGCGGATGCGGGTCTCCGCCTTGGCGAACTCGCCCTTGCGCGTCTCGATGTTGGCCAGCAGCGCCTGGGCCGCGAGGAATTGCGGATCGGCCGCGAGCACCTTCTCCAGCGTGTAGGCCGCGCCATCGAGGTCATTGGCGGCGAGCTGCAACCGGGCCAGGGACGTCAGCGCGAAGGTGCTGTAGCCGGCACGGCGTGTGGCATTGGTCAAGGTCTGCTTGGCGCCCCCGGCATCGCCGCTGGCGAGCTGGGCGCGGGCATACAGCGTCAGGTAGTTGACGTCGTCCGGCGCCAAGGCCAGCAGCACCTTGGCGGCGTCCAGTGCCTGAACGCCGCGACCCTGCTTCAGCTGGTACTCGATGATCGCTTCCTGCGCCCGGCTGTCGCCCTTGGGCGACACATCGGCCGAGCGACGCAGCAGGGCCAGGGCCTCGTCGGTCTGGCCTTTGCGCATCGCCAGCACCGCCAGGTCGTACAGCACCTCCGGGTTGCGTTCATCCGCCTTTTGAAGTGCCTTCAGACGGACCTCGGCGGCATGCAGGGCGCCGGTGGCGATGTCGACCCGGGCCAGGCCCAGCTGGGCGGCCGTCAGCGACTTGTCGAGCGCCAGCGCATGCTCGAAGGAGCGGCGCGCGCCGCCGAAGTCGCCGGACTCGGCCTTGGCGACGCCGGCAATGTTGAGCAGTGCCGCATTGTTGGGCTGCGTGCGCAGCAGCTGGTTGGCCACGTTGGCCGCCTTGGCGGGCTCGCGCTCGCGCAGGTAAAGCGCCATCAGGCCCATGCCGGCCTGCAGCTGCTTCGGGTCCTTCTTGAAGGACGCTTCCAGTTCGCTGCGCGCGCCGCTGCCGTCGCCGCTTTGCAGCAGGCTCACACCGAGCACCGTGCGCAGCTCGGGCACGTCGCGGGCACGCAGTGCGTCCTGCATGAGTTGCGTGGCGCGCGCCGGCCGGCCCTTGGCCATCTGCGCGGTCGCCAGCTGCACGAGGGCCTTGCTGTCCCCGGGGGTGCCGCGCAGATAGGCTTCCAGCACGGCGATCGCGCGATCAGGGTCGTTCGCCTTCAGGTAGAGCTGCGCGAGGATCTTGCTGACCGGCGTCATCGGCTGCGCGCGGACGAAGGACTCGAGCAGCGGTCGGGCCTTCTCGCCCTCGTCGAGTGCGAAGTGACTCAGGCCATTGAGCAGCAGGATCTGCGGCCGGTACTTGATGAAGTCCAACGGCACCGGATCCAGCAGGGCGGTGACCTGGGTCAGCGCCGCACGCGCTGCCGGGCGGTCGCCATTGCGGTCGGCCAGCACCGCCTGCAGGTAG